TCTGATAAAATAGACTTTAAAGCAACAAAGATCAAAAGAGACAAAGAAGGACATTACATAATGGTAAAAGGATCACTGCAACAAGAAGAGCTAACGATCCTAAATATATATGCACCCAATACAGGAGCACCCAGATACATAAGGTAAGTTCTTAATGACTTACAAAGAGACTTAGACTCCCACACAATAATAGTGGGAGACTTTAACACCCCATTGTCAATACTAGACAGATCAACCAGACAGAAAATCAACAAGGATATCCAGGACCTGAATACAGACCTGGAACAAGCAAACCTAATAGACATTTACAGAACTCTCCACCCCAAATCCACAGAATATACATTCTTCTCAGCACCACATCACACCTACTCTAAAATTGACCACATAATTGGCAATAAATCACTCCTCAGCAAATGCAAAAGAATAGAAATAACAAACAGTCTCTCAGACCACAGTGCAATCGAGTTAGAACTCAGAATGCAGAAACTAACTCAGAACCGCACAGCTTCATGGAAACTGAACAACTTGCTCTTGAATGTTGACTGGATAAACAATGAAATGAAGGCAGAAATAAAGATGTTCTTCGAAACCAATGAGAACGAAAACACAACATACCAGAATCTCTGGGACACATTTAAAGCAGTCTCTAGAGGAAAATATATAGCAATGAGTGCCCACATGAGAAGAAAGGAGAGATCTAAAATTGACATCCTATCATCAAAATTGAAAGAACTAGAGGAGCAAGATAAAAAAAACTCAAAACCTAGCAGAAGACAGGAAATAACTAAGATCAGAGCAGAACCGAAGGAAATAGAGACACAAAAAACTCTTCAAAAAATCAATAAATCCAGGAGCTGGTTTTTTGAAAAGATCAACAAAATAGACAGACCACTAGCCAAATTAATAAAAAAGAAAAGAGAGAATAACCAAATTGATGCAATAAAAAACGATAAAGGGGATATCACCACAGATTCCACAGAAATCCAAACCATCATCAGAGATTATTACAAACAACTCTATGCACATAAACTAGTAAACCTGGAAGAAAGGGATAAATTCCTGGACACCTGCATCCTCCCAAGCCTAAACCTGGAAGAAACCGAAACCCTGAATAGACCAATAACATGATCTGAAGTCACGGCAGCAATAAAGAGCCTACCACCCAAAAAAAGCCCAGGTCCAGATGGGTTCACAGCTGAATTCTACCAGACATACAAAGAGGAGCTGATACCATTCCTTCTGAAACTATTCCAGACAATCCAAAAAGAGGGAATCCTTCCCAAATCATTTTACGAGACAAACATCATCCTGATACCAAAACCTGGCAGAGACTCAACAAGAAAAGAAAATTTCAGGTCAATATCCATGATGAACATAGATGCAAAAATCTTCAATAAAGTACTGGCAAACCGATTGCAACAGCATATCAAAAAGCTCATCCACCATGATCAAGTAGGATTCATCCCGGGGATGCAAGGCTGGTTCAACATACGCAAGTCCGTAAACGTAATTCACCACATAAACAGAACCAAAGACAAAAACCACATGATTATCTCAATTGATGCAGAGAAGGCTTTTGACAAAATTCAACAACCCTTTATGCTAAAAACCCTCAATAAACTAGGTATTGAGGGAACGTATCTCAAAACAATAAAAGCTATTTACGACAAACCAACAGCCAATATCATACTGAATGGGCAAAAACTGGAAGCATTCCCTTTGAAATCTGGCACTAGACAAGGATGCCCTCTCTCACCACTCCTATTCAATATAGTACTGGAAGTTCTAGCCAGAGCAATCAGGCAAGAAAAAGAAATAAAGAGTATCCAACTTGGAAAGGAGGAAATCAAATTGTCTCTATTTGCAGATGACATGATTGTATATCTGGAAGACCCCATCATCTCAGCCCAAAATCTCCTGAAACTGATAAACAACTTCAGCAAAGTCTCAGGATACAAAATCAACGTGCAAAAATCACAAGCATTCCTATACACCAGTAATAGACTTCAAGAGAGCCAAATCAAGAACGAACTGCCATTCACAATTGCTACAAAGAGAATAAAATACCTAGGAATACAACTGACAAGGAACGTTCCATGTTCATGGTTAGGAAGAATTAACATCGTGAAAATGGCAATACTGCCCACAGTAATTTACAGATTCAACGCTATTCCCATCAAGCTACCAATGACCTTCTTCACAGAACTGGAAAAAAACACCTTAAACTTCATATGGAACCAAAAGAGAGCCCGCATAGCCAAGTCAATTCTAAGCAAAAAGAACAAAGCAGGAGGCATCACACTACCGGACTTCAAACTATACTACAAGGCTACAGTAATCAAAACAGCATGGTACTGGTACCAAAACAGAGATATAGACCAATGGAACAGAACAGAGGCCTCAGAGGAAATACAACATACCCACAACCATCTGATCTTCGACAAACCTGACAAAAACAAGCAATGGGGAAAGGACTCCCTGTTTAATAAATGGTGTTGGGAAAACTGGCTAGCCATGTGCAGAAAGCAGAAACAGGACCCCTTCCTGACACCTTACACCAAAATTAACTCCAGATGGATTAAAAACTTAAACATCAGACCTAACAGCATAAAAACCCTAGAAGAAAATCTAGGCAAAACCATTCAGGACATAGGTGTAGGCAAGGACTTCATGACCAAAACGCCAAAAGCAATGGCAACAAAAGCCAAAATAGACAAATGGGACCTAATCAAACTCCACAGCTTCTGCACGGCAAAAGAAACAGTCAGTAGAGTGAATCGGCAACCAACAGAATGGGAAAAAATTTTGCAGCCTACCCATCTGACAAGGGGCTGATATCCAGAATTTACAAAGAACTAAAGCAGATCTACAAGAAAAAAAAACAAACAAGCCCATTCAAAAATGGGCAAAGGATATGAACAGATACTTTACAAAAGAAGACATACAGGAGGCCAACAAACATATGAAAAAATGCTCATCATCACTGGTCATCAGAGAAATGCAAATCAAAACCACATTGAGATACCATCTCACACCAGTTAGAATGGCGATTATTAAAAAATCAGGAAACAACAAATGCTGGAGAGGATGTGGAGAAATAGGAACACTTTTACACTGTTGGTGGGAATGTAAATTAATTCAGCCATTGTGGAAGACAGTGTGGCGAATCCTCAAGGACCTAAAAATAGAAATCCCATTTGACCCAGCAATCCCATTACTGGGTATATATCCAAAGGATTATAAATCATTCTACTACAAGGACATGTGCACACGAATGTTCATTGCAGCACTGTTTACAATAGCAAAGACCTGGAACCAACCCAAATGCCCAAGGATGATAGACTGGATGGAGAAAATGTGGTACATATACACCATGGAATATTACGCAGCCATCAAAAACGATGAGTTCACGTCCTTTGTAGGGACATGGATTAACCTGGAAACCATCATTCTCAGCAAACTGATGCAAGAGCAGAAAATGAAACACCGTATATTCTCACTCATAGGCAGGTGTTGAACAATGAGAACACATGGACACAGGGAGGGGAGCACTATACACTGGGGTCCTTTGGGGGGAAATGGGGGAGGGGCAGGGGGTGGGGAGGAGGGAAGAGATAGCATGGGGAGAAATGACAGATACAGGTGAGGGGACGGAAGGCAGCAAAGCACACTGCCATGTGTGTACCTATGCAACAATCTTACATGTTCATCACATGTACCCCCAAACCTAAAATGCAGTTTAAAAAAAAAAAAAGATATTAGATCATCCCAATATACTCTTTTCAATTTGATAAATTTTTTTTTTTGAGACAGAGTTTCGCTCTTGTTACCCAGGCTGGAGTGCAATGGCGCGATCTCGGCTCACCGCAACCTCCGCCCCCTGGGTTCAGGCAATTCTCCTGCCTCAGCCTCCTGAGTAGTTGGGATTACAGGCACACGCCACCATGCCCAACTAATTTTTTGTACTTTTAGTAGAGACGGGGTTTCACCTTGTTGACCAGGTTGGTCTCCATCTCTTGACCTCGTGATCCACCCGCCTCGGCCTCCAAAAGTGCTGGGACAATTTGATAATTTTTAAGATCTTTATATGTACTTTCTAAATGAATATATTTTTATCTGTCACCCTTTCCTTTTCAAGTCTCTGTTGCATGTACACCCTTGAGGCCTATCAGTCTAATCTAACATACTCTGCATAATGTAAAAAGATAAAGGAACGAAAGGGCTAATAGGATACTGCTTAGGGAAAACTCTGGAAATATCCAAAGATCAGTAGAGCCCAAACTACCTCCTAAGCTTTATAGTATGTTGTCCTCCAAGACTGGTGAAAATCACCAGTAGACATAAATCTGGCATACATTGTCAACCCTGGAGAATCCAGGTGAGTAAAACTCCTTTCTGTGTAAAGATGCAAAAGCCTGCCTAAGAGTTGAAGGTAGTTGTTTTGTCTTTTTTATATGATTAAAATTGCCTTCATGAATTCTAGATATTGAAATTTCATAAGTTCAATTCTGAAGAAAAATCAAGCATTTTCTAGCAAATTAGCCTATGAAAAAAGAAAATGGAATAAGATGGTGTGATTATTATTCAGTTATTTTAATAAATAAAATCTGTATGTGTTAAAATTTCCTTTTTTATAAAAGGATTTAAAGGGGAACCCAAGAATCCTGGGGTAGGAATCAGAAAAATCTGAATTCTAATCTAGGCTCTGACCTTACTTGCTAAACTTTCATAATCTTTCTGGGTCTGTTTTTTCTTTTCTTTTTTTTTTTTTTTTAATATAATGAGAAGGTTTGACCAGTTGATATCTTAAGCTCCTTTTAGACCTAACATTCTATGATTCCAACTTGTTATACTAGATGAACTCACAAATCTACTAATTCATATACATTAGTGCAATATTATGACTCTCTAGGTATAAATTGTCACAATGTAAAACTTTAATTGCCCATGGATGCTTTAGAACAAATTGACATATCAGTGATGTGCAATTGTTTTTATAGGTACATTCCTCTCATTGAAAGGAGCTGTGCTAACATTCTCCTGTATGGACCGAACTGGTGGATTAATACAACCTCCATATGAAGTTTGGAGGGATCCAAACAACATAGATGAAAATGAAAAATCTTGGAGAAGGAAAGTGGTAATGAACTCATCGTCTGCATCCCAAGAAATAGGAGATCATCAATATACAATAATCTGCTCAGAAAAACAAGCCAAAGTCTTCTCGCTGCCTTCTCAGACTTGCCTTTATGTTCATAACATCACGGAGACATCTTTTATACTGCAAGCAAACGTGGTGGTCATGTGTAACAGTGCCTGCTTAGCCTGCTTTTGTGCTAATGGACATATCATGATAATGAGGTACTTGCCTTCTTATAAATTATCTGGTAATCACAACAATACCAAAAAGGTACAATTCTAAAAAGTATATGTGTTATGTCCAAGATGTTATTAAGACGCAACCTGAGATTATTGTTTCATTATGTTTCTGAATGTTTCATTGTTCAACAATTTGATGAGAGTTTGGGGCATTTGTGTTTTGTTTTGGTTTTTGGTTTTTCTTTTTTGCTAAAAATGCTTGGCATTGTGAGTAAAATATATTTTTAATTGCTATAAAGAGATATAAGAAAAGAATGATTTTTCAATCATTTAACAAATATTTATTGAGCATATGTTATCTCCCAGATGATATGCTAAGTACTGGAAATAAAAGATGAGTAAGCTAAATGGAAAAGAAGTTAACTCTTACTTTTCCTAAGTTTCATACTTCACCCAAGAATTTTACATACAGAATTTCATTTGCTCTTAGAACTTCTCTAGGGCATAGGAAAATAAAGTATGATTTTCATCCTCCATTTTACATTTGTTAATAAATTAAAGTTACACAATTTGCCTGAGGTTACAAGTCTAGGAAAAGTGAGACCAGTACTGAACAATATACTAAAAGTTATGAGACACTTTTAAAATAAGGTATCGCCCAAGAGATTTTATTCTACTGTTAGTGAAATTAAATAAAGCTTATGAGACACAAAAATAATTGCCTAAGGATTTTGTGAATTCTACAAACAGCTCATAAATATATACTATATAGAAGTCATTGCAATTCTTTTGAATATCTCACTTATTTTCAAAAATTATTGAGACAAGCATTGTACTAGGTCTGTGAAGGATATAAAAATTAGTAAAACATGGTCCTAACCCTTATGAAACTCCTTGTCTAACTGGGGAGATAAGACAGATACACAGACATTAGAACAAAAAGAAAATGTAAATTCCAACAGAGGAAATATGGGATTAGCTACAACTTAAGTTCCCAGAGTTCAAAGTCATAGCATAGTTGAACATGTATTATAAAAGAAGAGTCATGGAGAGGTGAGTAACCTGGAGAGGTAGATTAAAGCAAATTGTTGAGGACCTTGAATGTCAGGCTGAGTTTGACATTAATCAATTAATAGGCAATGAGCTTTTAAGAAGGTAATTAACCTTCTCTAACTATGTGTTAGTATGTACACATGGAGGGCAAGCTTGAGATAGGCTTTTGAACTGAAACGGTGTCTATACTGAAGGCAAGGAGGGAACAGGTATAAGGGAAACTTATTGAGTGCAAAGCTGATTGGTTGTGAACAATAATGGAGATTGTTAAATCCTAAGGTTAGAAGAGAGTTTAAAGGTTAGAAATTTTTTTGAACTTAGATAATAGTTCTGTTTTTAGCATGTAGGAAAGTCAGAAGAATTTTTAAAAGCTGATAATGAGAAATTTAAAAATAAATTCAGAATAACTATTTGAAATTTGAGGTGTTATAAGCCATCCAGCAGAGATTTAGCAATGAATTTAAGATTTGCAATCTTAGAAAAATGTATGTGGAAGGTCCAGCTTTGGAAGTCATCTACGTAAATGCATCAATCGAAGTTATGTTAGCAAATGAGGTAATAAAAAAGATAGCATAAAAAGAAATGAGATATAGACTGAGCTAAGGATAGAAACTTGGGGGTATTCTACATTTATGTAGTGAAAGAAAGACGACAATGCAGCAAAGGAGATTAAGAAGTCATTAGAAAGATAGGAAAGGACCAGAATTATATAATTTCATTAAATAGAGAAGAATATTAAAAGAGGTAGTAAAATATAGCAGAGAGATCGAAGAATTTGGGTGAAAGAAAAAACAGTAGATCTCACAACTGGTGGGATATTAATAACAGGTCTTAGCAGCATGGTGGAAACAAAAGCTAATTTTCAAGGAGACAAGAATAGAGGCAGTGGTGTAGATCAGGGTTTGACAAATTAATACCAACAAACTACCTCCATTCCCCTGATTTTGTACAGCCTGCATGTATTAAGAATAGTCTTTACATATTTAATGGTTGAAAAAATCATAAAGAAGAAGAAGATTTCATGATATGTGAAAATCATACTAATTTTAAATGTCAATGCCCATAAATAAAGTTTTTTTGGGAACATAGCTGCACCCATATTTCTGTATATTGACTATGGCTGCTTTTGCACTACAGAGCAGAGTTGAGTAGTTGCAACAGAGACTGTATGGCCTAGAGAGCCTAAAATATTTACTATCATAAATATTTATGGGCCTTTTGCCTTGGTATTTATTATTCTTTCAGAAAATTTTGTGGTTAAAAGAGAGATGAGACAGCATAGTTATTTAAGAGTGAAACTAGGTTTTGAGAGTGTTTTATTTTTCTTAATAGAGAAAATATGAGCAGGTTTGTAAGCCAAGGGAAAGTAGTGAAGGAGAAAGTTTTGAATAAAAATAATCATTTTATGGTCTGTTCATTTTCTCATATATTTCTGATTCTTTCCTATCTAGTTTCCCCTTTCTCAAACTGTTTTTGGAAATTTAAGATTGATAAGGTCATTTCAATCTTGTTTGAAAATGATTTAACTCCCAGACATGCTCAGATTTGCAAAAAAGTATGTTTGGGTGTGTGTATAAATGTGTGTATCTCACACACACATAGATTGAGTCATTGATAAATGGTATCTGTCTTCCTCTGTCCTTTATGAAAGCTGCTTGACATGATAATGGATACTTTGATATTATGTCATAGTAGAAATTCTTCATGTGTTCCTGAGGATCCTCAAAAATATCTGAAAAGGAAATAATTTTGATATTATTTTAATAATACATATACATAAAGTGTAGCTAGGAAACAATGGGGTGTGCTCTGCTATGTGGTTTAAAGAAATGAATCCTACAAATTCGCATGCACCTGGCCTCATTCATTTTCCCATACTGAGTCTATTCCCAGGATCTTTCCAGACCCTGTCAGAAGGTAACTCTCATAAGCCAAGTTTTCTCAAGTCCTAGTTTTCTGATAGGTATCAGGTAGCTAGTTAATTATTACTTAGATCCTAAGTACCCAGACCTAGAAAAACAAGTTTGAGAGTAGAGAGGAGAAATAGAAGAGGTTTATCTTTGTATAAATTCTCAAACTTGGCTTTAAGAGCCACTTTTTGTGAGATATACTTTTAGTTACCTGATGCTATTTCTTTATTAAAGGGTCCAGCATAGAAGAAAGTCTTTTTTCCTCTGTTTTAAGAACAATTGTTTTCTAGCAGTTAGCAACTGACTTGCTCTCTTTTCCTATCTGAAGTGACTACACCTCTATAATTTTCTTTTCTTGGCTTACTTTTTATTATACAATATAGACAATGTAGCCCATCAGAAAAGTCAGTTGGAACCTCTTCCTCAATATGAATGAATCTATCATGGAAATATGTTTAACTGGGATTGTTTTGGACTCATGTCCTAAGAAGCTTAGTTACCAGAAGTGCTATAACACATCATCTTTTAATATCCTTTTAAGATATTAGATAATTCTTTCATCAATGAAGCTTTTGGAATCCAATGTGTAATTTACATTTACAATGCATTTCAATTCAGACCAGCCGCATATCAACTGCTCAATAGCTACATTTGGTTATTGGCTACCATATTGAACAGTACAGTTCTTATTCCAATAACACAGATTTCAGATCCCATTTTACATAGTAAATTTCCACAGCTCAAAGTATAGTTACAAACCACTTTGATAAAGGAAATCAGTATTTTTTCAAGGTGCTGGTTTTATGATCTGGGACAATTTCAAATCATTGTGCACACTTAGAATCAGTATAATGGTTTCAAAATTTATTTAAATATAAGTTTACCTTTTCCCTTTTGGCATTAAAGTTCTGAGTAAAAAGCAATGAGACTGGTTTTCTTCAGGGGTTTGTAAAACTAGCTTGAACAATAGTATCCAAAATGACATTCTGGTGAATATTTTAGCAAAATTATCAGCTACGTTAAGATAAGCTTATAGCTATGGGGTAAGACACTTCAGATGTGTGGCATTCATTTGGATGTGCAAATTCTTATCTATTATTTATAACTTAGTCTCATTACCTTACAGTCTTGGCTATATTTACTTATTAGTCATGACTCCAGTGCAGTTGCCCTAAGTTATGGTTAATTATCTCTTCCTGTATATACAGTAAAGGAATGGGGAGCAAAGCCACTTCATTTCCAGGCACAGTGAACTGGGCCCACACTGCAACTCTGTCAGTTTTGCCTTAAAGAAAGACAATAGAGCAAGTATGCAGTCAGACACTTTCTAGCTGTGGTGTTTTTGAAATAACCAAAGGCTATAAATTATATTGTAGGAAAATGTGAAGTGCTACAAAAAGTGCCCCTGAAATTGCTGGCCACTTCATTTAATCCATCAAGAACATTTGCTAAGCCTCTATGTGAATTAAGATAAAAGAACTGTGCCTATGATTTTTTTATGTATATGATTTTGTGTGAAAGTCTAGTTTATTACCAGTGAGCCTTGAAGATAAGAAGAAACAACCAGGCCGGGTATGGTGGATCATGCCTATAATCCCAGCACTTTGGGAGGCCAAGGCAAGTGGATCACTTGAGGTCAGGAGTTCAAAACCAGCCTGGCCAACGTGACGAAACCCTGTCTCCACTAAAAATTCAAAAATTAGCCAGGTGTGGTGTAGCATGTCTGTAGTTCCAGCTACTCAGAATGCTGAGGTGTGAGAATCACTTGAACTTGGGAGGTGAGGTTGCAGTGAGCTGAGGTCACTCCACTGCATTCCAGCTTGGGTGATAGAGCAAGACTCTCAAAAGATATAAAAATAAAAAAATAATAAACCACCATAAAATAATGGTATAAAAAATCACTGTTTATGTAAAGGTCTGCTTCTAACAACCTGCATGTGATACATGGATTTACTTTCTTCCATTCAGCCTACCTAGTCTTCGCCCAATGTTGGATGTTAATTATTTGCCACTGACAGATATGAGGATAGCACGTACATTTTGTTTTACCAATGAAGGACAGGCATTATATCTCGTCTCTCCTACTGAAATTCAGCGGTTAACATACAGCCAAGAAATGTGTGATAATCTACAGGTAAGTCAGGATGTACACTTATGAAAAAGACATTGGACATGGTTGAGAGAATAAGAAAGATGTCTAAAAGCTAAAATATTATTAGATCAGACAATACATATGCCCTTTCAATAACATGTTTTGAATATATATTCTAGAAGCCTATAAACTTCTAGAATGGTTCCAGTCATTGCACAGAAGTAACAAGAAAGAGGGAGACAATGCAAAGATCATTCATATTAATAGCTGATCTTTTCATTTATTTATTTTATTGTTTGGTTTTGCCCATGGAGAATCTTATAAAAGATTATAAATTCTCCCCTCAGGGTGAGAAATATGTATGTACACACACACAAATTAAGGTTTCTTCAAAAGAATCCTTGAATTCCACTCAGGGAGTTCAAGGACTCCTTTGAGAAAATCTCAATTGTGATTAAGGGACACACAAAATAAACATACATCCTGTGGGCTAGAATTGAGCATTTATCTTTGATTGTAGCAGTAAGCATAGCCTAGACAGAGGATAGATATAAATGTCTAAACTTTGGTAAGAATGGTCACAGTTTTTTAAAAGCATCTTAGACATTTAACTGGTTAAACTCCCTCATTTTAGAAATAAGAACATTAAAATGTATTTATTATAATATAGAGGTTAAGAACATAAGCTCTGAACTATTCAAGCTGTATTTTGGCTCCTCCATCTGTGTGACTTTGGGCATTTTACTTAACCTATCTGTACACTCTACTTTGGAGCATTGTCATAGTTTAGTAAGAATTCATATAAAGAACTAAGCTCAATGCCTGGAATATATTTTTTTAATAAATAATAATATTGTCATCACCATTGTCATTCAACAAATTATTTATTGAGTTTTTACTATATACCTAATACTTGGCTAGACTCTAGGAACACGCTAATAATTAGGATACAAGTCCCTGCCTGCTAGTGTGGAGAGACAAAAGTAAGCAATCACACCACTCTGTGAAAACTGCTATGTATAGCTGTGGCAGTACTGGGGAGACATGTAAGAACAACACCTGAGTTGATGGAGCAGAAGGGAGGCAGTTTAACCACTTGACTTTCTAAGATGCTTTTTAAAAATTTTGTGACCATCCTTACTCAAGGTTAGATAAACGTTTACAGCTATCCTGTTTCTAGTCTATGCTTCCTGCTACATTCAGAGACAAATGCCCAATTCTAACCCACTGGATATATGTATTTATTTTGTGTGTCCCATAATCAAAAGAAGTTAGTTTGAGAAGGATTTTGGGCACAACTGACTTCCGAATGGTAAATAGGAGTTATCCAGGTGACTGAATGGTTGGGGATGAAAAAGGTAAGATACTCTAGACGGAAGTAGTGGCATGCAAAAGCCTCAGGGCTAATGAAACTGCCAAGAAAGTGAGGAATTAGGAAGTGGAAAGAGTGGAGATGTTGTGCAGGAGAATTAGTCGAGTAGATCTTGCAGCCCCTTGTAAGCTCCTTAAGGGATCTATTGTAGCATTTATCCCAAGGACAGTGGTAAGTCATTGAAAAGTTTTAGCAGATTTGTTTATTAAAATAAATATTCTAGTTATAGTATGGTGGTTGGTTTTCAGGAAGCATCAGGATGGAGAAAAGTTAGCACATTCAATAGCTATGAAGTGTCCAGTGCCCTATTTCATACGGCAACTGGATTTAGGGTTATTAAATACAGGAGTGAGGGAAAGGAAGGAATTAGTAATTTCTCAGTTTCTGGCTTGGGGAACCAAATAGATGATGCTGCCATTTCCAAAGAGAAGGGCTTCAGGAGAAAGAGCACAGGTCTCAGTAGAGGTAGGGGAGATGATGAAGTTAAATCATACTGGAAGTTCATAGAAAACCAATATTAGGTCACAGATCTCCTGACTCGGTCTAAGATCCTTTCTCCACACTGATGGTTCTTAAACTTTGGTCTGCTTTAGAGAGACCTGGGGAGCAAGGTATAATCTTGACAAATGACCTCATCTATGTAGATTCTTATTTCATGTATGTGGAATGCAGCCTGAGTATCTTCATTTCTAACAAGCATTTCTCTAGTCATTGTAAAGCTCACCAAATATTGAGAACAATTGTACTTCACCCTATACAGTAGCTGCCTATTTTGACTCATTTAGATTATCTTTAACCATTTTATAATTTTGTACTTCCTAGAAAAATAGATCCAACCTTATTCCACATACCACCAAAGCTTTCCTATTTCATAGGGCAGTCTATGCTTGGTTCAGGGAAGGGTACCAGGATAAAAAAGAGACTATAGTGACTGAAAAAGGATCCAAAGTCTAGTGGTAATTATTGAGCACAGGTGAAAATTAATCCTAGGGTAGATAAATTGGCTTCCCATGCTGATAGTGGAGGGAAGAAGAAAAGAGCACAGATAAAGGGAAATTTTAGAACATGTGTTACTATAGAAGGGGAGGAAAAGGAGATGGTAAAAGAAATGACAGGGGGAGAACTGTGAGCACAGCAAAAATAACCATGAAAATATATGAAAAACAGTGTCTTTTCATGATGTGTTCTAATATACCATAGTGTTACCTTTTTGCATATTAATTGATTTTTTAGTTCTTCTAATGCTTTTTTCTTTGAATTTGATACAGGACATGCTAGGAGATTTGTTTACTCCCATAGAGACACCAGAAGCTCAGAACAGAGGCTTTCTCAAGGGACTGTTTGGAGGAAGTGGACAAACATTTGACAGAGAAGAGCTCTGTGAGTAAATTCCTTTGAAAATGCATTGCGAAATAGAAGACATGTTTCTGTGTATATTTGTGTGTAACTTAATGTGATATGTGATCTCAAATTCTAAACTATGTTTTTTTTGCATCTAAAAGTTTGAATATTTGTTTCCTTCTGTACCGTAAAAATTATTTCTGTTTACCAAACATGAATAAAAGTGGCCACTTCATATTAGGAAATTGTTTAACAAAAATGATACATATAATTCATAAAAATAATGAGCAAGCTAATAAATATCTCATTTGCAAGTAGATCATACCTTCATGGCAATGTGAAGACATTCAAAAAAGTCTGGAAAAAAAGATTTTTGAATCTGCCTGACTTTAATCACTGCTGGAAAACAAATTCCTTATCTAGCATGTAAGATTTATCAATGCTACAGAATAAATTACTTTAAAAATCTACCAGTGAGACAAAATCAAAAAGTATTGCTGTTTATCAAAGTCTTACTGGTAGATTTTTATTTGTTTGTTTATTTATTTATATTTTTTGAGATGGAGACACATTCTGTTGCCCAGGCTAGAGTGCGGTGGCCTGATCTCAGCTCACTGAAACCTCTGTCTCCTGGGTTCAAGCAATTCTCCTGCCTCAGCCTCTCAAATAGCTGGGATTACAGGCACCCAATCATGCCTGGTTAACTTTTGTGTTTTTAGTAGAGACGGGGTTTCACTATGTTGGCCAGGTTGGTCTCAAACTCCTGACCTCATATGATCCACCCACCTCGGCCTCTCAAAGTGCTGGGATTACAGTCATGAGCCGCTGTGCCCAGCTTCACTGTAGATTTTTAAATAATGGGAAAATACTAGGGAAAAATTTCAGAGAGAAGGTATGAATATATTTTCCAGAATATCCTACCATCATTTGGTCCTATAGATCAAAATTCTCTTTCTTTGGAACTTTTAACTATGCAAAAACATCTAGGTTCCTTTGTGCAATGGAATATTATTTGGCCGTGAAAAGAAATGAAGTACTGATACATGGTACAACATGGATAAACCTTGAAAACATCTTGCTAAGTGAAAGAAGCCAGACAAGAAGGCCACATACTATATTATTCAATTTATATAAAATATCTAGAATGGGCAAATTCAGAAAGGCTAAAAGTAGATTAATGATTGCCAGGGTCTGAGGCAAGGAAGGAAGAAGGAGTGACTGCCATGAATTTGGGGTTTCTTTTTCGAGTAATGTATATGTTCTACAATCAGATAGTGGTGATGGTTGCACAACTTTGTGAATACACTAAAAACAAGTGAATTGTAGACTTTAAATAGATAAATTTTATGTGAATTATATCTCAATAAGGCTCTTATTTTTTTAAAAATTAGATTCAACCACTCATTTAAAAATCCAGAATTCATTCAAATATTACATCCTTGGGAATTCTCACTAAATTTCTGCCAAAATAGTTGTTTTTCCTTTAAAAAAAATGAAAAAGAATCTCACTTTGTTTCCCAGGCCCTAGAGTAAAGTGGCACAGTCAGGTCACTGCAGCCTCAAACTCCTGGGCTCAAGTGATCCTCCTGCCTCGGCCACCTGGGTAGCTAGGACTACAGGCATTCACTTCTATGCTTGGCTAATTTTTGATAGCTTTTTTTCAATTAAAAAAATGTTTTGCTTTATGGATAGCTGGTGCAGTGGCATGCACTTGTAGTCCCAGCTCCTTGGAAGTCTGAGGTGGGAAGATTGCTTGATACCAGGAGTTTGAGTCAAGCCTAGGCAACATAGCAAGACTTTGTCTATAATTTTTTTTTTTTTTACTTCATTGAAATTGAATAAAGCTGAGCTTTGTAGGTGACTGGGAAATTCTTTTAGTCTTTCATAAATCACGGTTTTTTTGTTTATTTATTTATTTATTTATTTATTTATTTATTTATTGAGAGAAAATCTCACTCTGCCACCCTGGCTGGAGTGCAGAGGCATGGTCTCAGCTCTACCTCCTAAGTTCAGGAGATTCTCCTGCCTCAGCCTCCCAAGTAGCTGGAATTACAGGCATGTGCAAACAAATCCAGCTAATTTTTGTATTTTTAGTAGAGATGGAGTTTCACCATGTTGCCAGGCTGGTCTAGAACTCCTGACTTCAGGTGATCTGCCCACCTCAGCCTCCAAAAATGCTAAGATTACAGGTGTGAGCCACCATGCCCAGCCACAAATTTTTAACATATGTAACTTATATGGGTAAATGTTATGTTTGTTTTATAAATCAAATTTTTAACATATGTAACCATCATTCATCTATTCATATACCCCATTTTTCAGTATTTACATTGAGACAGAAAGAGAAAAAGAGAACCTGAGACCTACTGAGGCTTATATGTGAAGGTGAACAGAGTGAACGGAGAAGGCTGAAATAAAAACTAAGGCAGAAACTTAAGCAAATGATCAGGCCTAAGCTTGGAACAGATATTAATATAGGTTAAATATGAGGTCACATATTTTGAATATTCCAATTCAGCATCAAGAAATGCAATTATGTCACATTGTATAGAACACATACACATACAAAAAGGCCTATGACAACAATATACCTCACAGTCTCTTTCTTAGCATTTTTCTTGAGTAAGTGCTAACATCTCCCAACACACATATATGACTGGACCAAATAAGACTCTCTTGTACTGAGAATTATGACAGTAGAATGTAATATTAGTACTTTGTCTTGGTGACAAGCTTGACTGTTTGAAACACTGACAAAATTTTTTAAATTGCTATTGCTTAAATTCTCAGTTGGGGAAGCTTCAGCAGGAAAAGCATCCCGCAGCCTTGCGCAACACATTCCTGGACCAGGTAGTATAGAAGGGATGAAAGGTGCTGCCGGAGGGGTGATGGGAGAGCTGACCCGTGCACGGATTGCACTTGATGAAAGAGGACAGAGGCTAGGAGAGCTGGAAGAGAAAACTGCAGGCATGATGACCAGTGCAGAAGCATTTTCCAAACATGCACATGAGGTAAACTGCCTAAGTAAATATAGACATCTTCATACAGGAGTAACTTTAAGCATTTAGGCTCTGCACAAGAAGGAGATTCTTGTGCTTCAGCCTCCCAAGTAGCTGGGGACTACAGGGATCATCCATATAAGTAATCCTGTTTGAAAATCATGATAACCTGGATCTCTTTGAGTGTGATAACTCCCCCAATGCTTGGGAGATAGAAATGATTTAAAAAAAAAAAACTTTAATGTATTGATACTTCTTTATCTTAGGGGATAAAGAAAATTATCCATTGGTTCTGATACATTGGGTCTATATTGTGTATCAGTTGCCTAAAAGGTGTTTCAGTAGGTTATATGACCTCACAACACACCCACCAAGAAGGTGTGGTGGCAGTGGAGGATGGGATCCACATCTTGCATTTTGTCTCATCATTAAAAATCATTTTCCATCAGCTGAGTCTTTACAGCTTGTTTTTTTATTTTAAAAATCTTTCTCATATGCACTTTATTTCACAAAATAAAAGAAGCTATTCAGTTTGATTATAAATTTTCAGATTAGTTAGATTTGCATGATTAGCTCAAAATGGGCTTGCTTTTAATAGCACTTTTAAAGTATTTTAGCATCTTACGGTGGCTATTTTTTCTTTGCAGTTAATGCTGAAATACAAGGATAAGAAATGGTACCAATTCTAAACTTCTAAAGAAGCTGTGACTGCTTTGAGAAACCATATTCAGGGAAACCAAATTTATTCCCAGCATCACTATTCAACTGCTAGAAGCCAGTTTCTTCTACAAAATGTTCCATTTACAGTCAATCTGAAATTATGTTAAAGGAGATGTATCAGAGACACTATACAACCCAAAGGCTGGAGCCCTGGTTAAAATCCCAAGATATGGCTGATTTTGCCTTTTCCCATGTGGAATGGAGCTATCGTCTTGGCATGTCATTCGATAAGGATTTATATTTAGGAACTAAGGGGAGTCCTCTTGATTTAAAAATTCCTGTACAAACAAAAGCATTAATGCACTTAATGAAAAAAATCTTTGCATGATAAATTAACATCTTAAGAGGAAAAGAAAAAAAAGCATGTTGTGACAGAAGAAAAAAAAGATTCACTGTAAACTATTTCTATTAATTGGGCCACACTCAACAATTTTAAAAATCTGCATTTGAAGATATCAGTGCATTTCAAATATATTTGCCATACCCAACTGAAAAGGAAAACAAAACAAAACAAGAACCCAGAGTTTTCTCATCTGTAACTTTCATTGTACTAGAACATTATTGAATTCTTATGGCAAGAGTCTGATTAATGTTCTCTCTCCATGTTTTACATCATTCAGAGTTCTCAGTCATAATCAAATATTGCCAGCCAGTATAGTAAGTTATTTCCAACACAATTATTTTCATTTCTATCACCTTCAGAATGGGTTGCTGTTTTTAGCACAAACCATGAAAGGTTGGGTCACTTGAAAGCATTTTCTTTAGCCTGGCTTGTATTCTATAGGGAAGTTGGTAGTAGGTTTGGGGAAATTATAGGAATAATAGAGTTAGCTATGAGAACTGACTTCACAAAAAGTGAAATTTCACATATCCCAATTTCAGTTTCTAAAGTGATATATTTTTAAAGCTTAAATTGTATCCTTGTCTGCCAGTTACACAGTATATTACTGTTGAAACCCGGTAAGGTCTGTAACCTGAAAGTGTTCTTGCAGCCTGACATTCACAAACCAAACTGGTCATTCTCTTTATTGTGATTCAGTAAAACCTCAGTTAATGTTTTGAGAAAGGGATTCTGATTTATGACATTTCTGATTTACAAGGGCTTTCATTAGAAAATACCTTTCGGTTCAATACCTACCCCTGGATATTTTTATAAAATACGGTGATGTGTTTGCTATCTTGGCCTCACTCATCATTACAGACAACAGAAATACATAAAGAGTTTAATGATATAAAATCAATTATTTTGTCACTAGGTCAAATAATATAAGCCACAAGATTATGTCAATAGGTGCCAAACACCTGTCCCTTGTTAAAAACTCTTTTAAAGCTGGAATAAAGAATATCCTTAACATGATACAAGGTATCTATCTTAACTCACCAGAAAAGCACTAGAGTCAAAACAAAATAAAGGCATCTACTACCATTTAGCATGATTCTGGAAATTAAAAGTTATAGGAATGTATATATACATATTCAGGACTCATCCTGTAATATGTTATTCCTTCAAAAAATGTTTAATTATGGTTTTGGCTTATTGAATTTTTGTTAATCAAGGTCTTATTGGATTTACATTTATGTTTCTGAAGACCACCATTTTCCTGGATTTCAGGTTATTTTAATAGCCAAAAGTGGTATTTTTATTTCCTTTTTAGTCTAATTTTTTGCTAGAAACATTACTTTCTAGCAAGTGTTTCTAGTAGTACAATGTTCTCAGTAATTTTGGGAAGAAAAAAGATGAGTGAAAGAGTTATATAATGTACACTAGGATAGCATTTCTCAGAGTCTATGAATCCACTTGTTAAAAAAGCCTCTCTGTGAATCTCCCAGTCTCCTGAGAGATTAGACAGATTAAGCTTTATTGTTCAGCTTTACAGTCACAGAATCTGGCTTGGAAACACAAACATTACATGACTGTATCATTTATAAAATTATAAAATTATATGGTAGAAATATTAAAGAAACTTAAGAGTGGGGTCTAGAAAATGCTGGTGGCCAAAATGTATATATTATTTGTACCATCAGTTTCAAGGACTTAGTTTTCTGATTTTTAGAAGAAATACTTTACCATTTCTGTATTTAAAAAAAAAAGGAGTAAAATATTCATTTGTTTTAGAAATAATGAAACTCAGTCCAAAGTAGCATTACATTTGATGAGTATCTCTGAAGCCCTCAATAAGATTTAACTTGTTTGAACTTGTTCTACATTGAGATTTCTCAATAGCGGCACTATTAGCAGAAAGTCTTTGTTGTGGGAAACTGTCCTGTGTATTGCAGGATATTAATGATATCCCTGGCCTCTGTCTACTAGTTGCCAGTAGGAACTTCTTAGTAATGACAATCAAAATGTCTCCAGCCATTGCCAAAATTTATCCCAGTTTACAGCCACTATTCTACATCATATAAAGAGATAGATTGTGTGAATATGTAATAAATGTTGTTGTATAAAACTGTACAATAAGTATACAATGTCTTAGCAGGATAAATTATTATACCCAAAATTACACGTGTGGTTCATATGCAATAAAATAGAATTTTGAAGAAAGCTTATATGAATCAGTGAAAAATAACAACTACAGAATATTTTAAGGCACACAGAGAAAATATCAAAAAAGACATTATAGCATTTCACAGTAGAAATGCCTAAAACTTTGGCTTCAGTGAATAGATCAAAAGTTTTTAATTAGCATGCCAATTGGAAGTAAACAGGTGCTTCTAAAATGCTTGAAAAGAAAAGGTTCTTTGAAGTCGTTTGAACGTGTCTTTCAAAATTGTTTTTATAAGCCCTTCCTTAACATTAAGGGTAACTTCATCTCACAAACTCCTGGTTATTGGAATCCAAATTAATGAGGTTTTACTGTATCAAAAATATTTTTATAATTCAAAGAGATAGCAATAACAAGAATGTAATGTGGATGTGATTTTTCTCTTTGAACATTTCTGTTCTGTTGCACTGATCTTAGCATGCATACACCCACATACACACACACACACACACCCCATCACGATTACCATCACTATCACCATCACCACCACTGCTACCATCATCATCTTATCCTCATCTTTGGAAAATGAGTAGTGTTGATCAATGTAGTCCTTTGCATCGTCTCATCTTTACTATCTTCCTTCTGTTTCGGAACATAAGAAAAATACTCCTAGTAATTTGGACAATGATACAGTAAGTGACCCTGAGCCTTAGTTATCATCAAAATTACACTCCATCCGCTAAAGCAACATCAGAAGATAAGGCTTACAAACCACAGTCCCAACAAGTTGATCTTGTCTCCCTGATTCCTTCAAGAGATAAGCCCTTTTTAGTGTCACAGCAGAAAATGGGCCTTTTCATTCTATTCATCAGTGAGAAGCTAGAAGTATTTGTTTCTCTGATAGTAACAAGGGCAATAATCCCTACCTTGAAATCATCCATTAATCTGGGAGTTTGGAGGGAGGGATGATTGATTTGTCATTTGTTTTAATCACCTACATAAGCAGTACTACTGACTTTGCTTCTTACAGTTTACTGAGCCCCAGATCTTAGAGCCCCAATCACTGTCAAGATCATGTTTGACTGCAACTTTGGAAGGACAGTGACAGAACTGAATGAGATGTTTTCCAATGATTCACTCACAAAGACAATTTTTTCAAATTTTTTGAAAGTGATTCTCAAATTAATAAATCAAAATCAATCTCCTTTCCCTCAAAGTTTTTAGGGATCTTAAAGGAAAAGTTTTACTGTTAGAGTCCTTTTTATGTGATCCATGTACCAGTTTTTTTAAAGGTACCATCTATACTTTATCTACATTAAGGGAACACCATGACTTTAAGAGAAAAAAGAATCAGATTGGGCCTAAAATTGGTTGAAGAAGATTAAAAGAGATTCTTATGTTCAAGCAGAAGGGAAAAATGAAGCCAATCTAGAAAAGTAAGCTAAAAATTATCTCCTTGGCTTAGGATCACTGGAACAACCTGGGAGTATATCTGTGTGATTACAACCTGCCACTATGAGAAAAAAGAACTAACCTGAACATGTTGGCTCACAGAGGGCAATGCCAAAAGAAGTCAAAACATTCATGTCAGGTCTCGGTCTTTGTGTCAGGAGAAACATGGTAGCTTTCACAGCTTCTTTACCTCTGTCCTCTGTCACGCAACTCCATTTTTGTCTGGGTACTATTTCACATACACACTGTCCTGGGTGCCAGAAATACTTGTGGTATACATGGTTTGAGCAGAATCTCTAGTGTACACATTCCAGGGAACATGGTTGTCAACATAACAAATTTAGTGTGTGTATTTGTAGACAACATAGCCCTAAAAGCATGAAATACAGAATAGGTAAGGTCTATCTTGGGAAAGGAAGAGGAAGTACCAATTTGGTGCAATAAGATTGTGGTAAGAAAGGACATGGGAGCCACAGTTAAATGAAAGAGGCTTTGAGGAATCAGATGCACAGATGGATGCTTTTATTTACATGTTTATCTAGAGGAGTGATTCTCAACCTTGGCTGTACATAAGAATCACGTCAGGAAACTGTAAAATTCCCAATCATATTAAAATCCTTTGAAGTGGGAACCAGACACCAATGTCTGTGAAAGCATCCAAGGTGGTTCTAATGTCCAGCCAAAGTTGATTATCACTGTTTTATGACCACGTAAGGAAAACTTACTTGTCTGCCTTGGCTGTTATTGCAGCCCCAGTTCCGAGTGGTCAGGGAAGGCTAGTTATAATATATAGTAATGGTATTTATTCTGTATGTCTCACAGAACAAAAGCATGTGAGAATTTCTGACCATGCAGCTCTCTATTAAATCTTAATAACCATCTTTGTGATATCCTCCTATGTGACTTGTTCATTAGTTATTCCAAAGGTATAGACCTTATCACAAAGGTCTAGTTTTTTTTCAATTGTTTTATACATGTGACATCACAAGATACCAGAAGTAGCACAGTAAATTCGACAGCATTATAAAGCTAAGTGGAAAACTAATTCTTCATATTTAGACAGTGGAAATTCTCAAAACAATCATTTGCTAAATCAGGTCCAAATTTATTTTTCGTTCTTCTTCTGGAGGAGACATGGGTACCAGATATCTGTTCTGCTATAGGTATATTTCGCTGGACTTGGTCTTAGCAAAAAGGAATAACAAATCTTCCTTTTTTATTATCTCAATCAAAAGCTCCCAGGACCACTTGGATTTATTTTCTTAGTCTTTGGACATGTGTTCAAGGGAAAAGAATAACTGTAACTTCCTATATGACATCCAGTACCCTGAAAGAGTGCTTACACCTTCAAAAAAGGAGAGTCCAGCCTATCAAAGGCAGTAACATATAATGAGAATTTAGAGTTATCGCCTCTCATACTGCTTTCCCTCTGCTATTGGCCCACCCTTCTCGACTGCAAAGCCAGAAAGTAAACTAGGTGGTGGTTTTGGACAATTGTACACAGGATCAGAATCTCTAATAACCTATAATTTTTAGTACTTAATTATGTGATGTTTTATTCTAGGAAATAAGAAACAAATGACATCATTGATGTATCTTTCTTTCATCTTCAGAATTTTTGCATCTTTTCAGAAAACGACAAATTAACTATTTTTCTGTTGCACTCAGCAATTGTGACTATACTTAACAAAATTCTTGTAGTCTGTAGAGATATCAATAAAATTGTATATGTTTGTACATAGATGCTCTCTTATGTCATGATGTCATGCACTAATAATTTTTGCCAAGATTACATATGGACAGAGGTAAGACCCATTTATAGCACTATGAACTATGATTTTGCAAAGTGTGATTGTTTTAAAAAGGCAGGGAGGGGGCAGGAGAAGATGTACTGCAAATCTATCAAATACAACTTCCCAAAACTCATACATTTCACTAGAATTTATTAACCCAGTAGCCATTCAAAATCTCCATCAAATTGAGGAAATGTGTTACTTTTTATTGAAAGACTTTAAAAACAACTTTTGATGTTGTTGAAGTCCACTTTCAGTGAAGTACAAGTAAAAATAATTTGGTAATAATGCAGCATAAGAAATTAAGGTGGATAAGATGTACCCACAAACTCAACATTCAGACCTTACTTCCTCACTTCTTTTCAGCTCCAGCTTTGTCTTCAGCCAGAAAGAAAAATGAAGCTACTATGGGCTTATTCCATCTCCTAATAGTTATGATAAACATTCATTAACTCAAAACCTCCAACAGTTCTCTGGAGAGTGTTGTCTCCTGCACCTCTGGCTTTCATCAGCATAGTTAATTCCTCTTCAGGCACTTTTCTCATATTTATCTAGACTATGGCTTTAAACAACTGACTTTATTCTTCTAAATCCTGTCTAATTTAATCTCAGGAAAATTTACCCCTCACCATAATTTTTCTTCTAATTTTGATTCCATATAAAAATTGAAAAAACAGCAAACGAGCTCAAGGCTAAAAAACTTGATTAAAAATACAAATATACATTTACCTTATTATTTTTGAATTACAATAACTTAGGCTTCAGATACCTGCATTCAGTATTTGAAATACTGATTTGACTTCCTTTCTTCTTCCTTCCCTTCCTTCCTGTTTCTTCCTCACCCCCTTTCTCCCTCTGTTCCCTACTTCCCTTTCCTCTCTTCCCTTCCTTTATTCTGTCTTTCCTTTCATTCATTCACTCCAAAAGTCAGCCACACTCACAAAGGCTAGTGATGGCAGCTCCATGCAAAGAGTTCACTGGAGTAGGGGGAGGAGACAGCCTGGGAGTGAAGTGGCAGGGTCAACTCTTCAATGGCCAGTGATGGCATGTGATGTTGGCATTGGAGCAGGGCAGCCCAATGGGGTCAGGAGGTTGGCTACATACAGGGCATTGAGCCATTAATAAGCATATTGAGACTATGGGAGCCAGGTTTCTCACTGATAGAGAACAGAAAGGAAAAAATAAAAGGGAAAGCTAGAATAAACCCCGAAGTATTATATTAGAATTGGAACTATCAGTGTAAATTTTTACATAAATGCAAAGTGTATATATATAATGTATATAAATATATATGGGTATCACTACATATTTTACATATGTAACATAAAGGTGTGTGTGCACACATGCCTGTGTAAAAAATATATATATATTTCTTAAATCTGCACATCTAGAGGACAGAGAGCAAGCCCCTTACCCTCTGGAGCAATGAGCACGGCTAGTACCTGGATATTTATTTCTAATTACTGTTCTCTGCTAAAAGAAACTGGAGCTCGCTGAAGAAATGTCTAGTTTCAAGGCTAAAACATGTCTGTGTCAGAAAATAAAGTATTCAAAGAATAACAAAGACATGTCAAAAGGACACAGCAGCTAGCTTCAAGCCTACACAGGACAAATCAGGTATAATTTGAGCATCAAGGCCAGGTGTGGTGGCTCATTCCTGTAACCCCAGCACTTTGGGAGGCCAAGGTGGGAGGATTGCTTGAGGCCAGGAGTTCCAGACCAGCCTAGGCAACATAGTAAGACTCTGTCTCTGCGAAAAAATAAAATATAACAAGAAGAAGAAGAAAAGAAAAAGGAAAAAGCATTAAAAGTCATAACAGTAACTTAACAAGTACCCACTAGTCTACATTGATATAAATAAGAGGGGAAAGGGAAAACTCTTGCTTACAATAGAATGTCCACAAATAAAGAAATGTAGATGGAATTTTAAAATTACCATTTGGCAACCATTATGGTAATGACTTGGGCAACAAATACCAGTGGATGCTGACACTGGTGAGATAAAGTAGGAGAGAGGAAGAGGATATTTTCATAGTCTCAAAGTACCTTCACAAAAAAATTCGCTAATCATAAAGAAAAATATAACTAGAGAAACATGGCAGACACCATCTTAATCGAGTGATCAAAGTTCCCACCACCAGCAAGGGAACAAATCAACATCATGTGCCACCTGACAGGATGCAGTGAGAACCCAGCATCACCTCTGCAATATTCCTGCCAAAAACACACAATCAAGGTCTAATCATGAGGCAATAAGCAAAACCAAATTGAGTGACATTCTATAGGCC